GACTGTCTATTCACCAGTTTGGGGTTCAGCCTAGTGCCCCACTTCCCCAGCGGCCAGCCCTGTCTTGCTCAGCGGGGCCTGGCACACAGTAGGTGCACAGCATAGGTGCTTCTGTGAGGACGCCGTCTGGGCTCCAGGTGACTCCTGCCTGTGGGAGACTGGGCAGGGGCTGTCTGGAGGATGCTGGGGTGCCCTGGGCCACACGGCACCCTCTGAGCCCACACAGCTCAGAACCAAGGCAACGCGCTGCCCACCAGGCCCCGGAAAGGGCCCCTTGGAGGGGTGAGTTTAGGAAATTCAGTCTGTTGCAGGAGTTCCCTTCGGGAAAATCTCCTCCAGTGTTTGTTTGTGTTGTTTCTCCCGGATCTGTTGCTTGTTCAGAAAACCCTGGGCGGTGCTGCCGCGTGGGAGTGCCAGGCTCACGCTGCTGTAAGGTGGCCATGGCGTGGCCGAGTTCCCCTTGGGGATTCCACAGGAAGGACGTGGGCCTCCCGCACCCCGCCCGTGTGCGCCCAGCGCGGAGCAGACCCCAGGGCCGCTGCCGAAGCTGTGTTTCAGGCTGACCCACTGCCTGAAACAGCTCAGGCCCCGGGACCCCCAGCCCCAGCTCCCCTCCCCACACCAGGGTTGTATTTTTATTTTTGCTGCTGTGGAGTTGGGTTCCTGTCAGAGTGCCCGAGTCTTGGCTCCAGTAGGACTGTTCTAGTTGATGTGGGGGCCCTGACCTTTTCCCAGGGTCAACCCCCGGCCCGTCCTCAGACAGCCAGGCCCAAGGGAACCCGGCTGAGAGCCTCCCACTGGAGTCCATGCCTTCTGCCTCCCCCAGGGAAGTCAGGCTCTGTGGGGGTCGGGGTGGGGGCGGGGCAGAGTCCAGAGGAGGGTGGAGGGTGTCTGGGAGCATCCTTTCCTGTCCCTGCACTGAGTCTGTGGTCATCATTCATTCAGCAATGCGAGTGAAGGGCTGGCTCTGAGGAGGGGGCCAGTGTCCCGGTCCACAGGAAGCTCCCAGACCACCGAGGTGACAGATGGTAACCAGACCATCCTCGGAAGTGTGGGTTTGTGTCTGTGGTGAGACCAGGTGTTTTGCGGTCTCTCCTGAGGGGTAGGAGGTTGGTGTGAGCAGGGAGGTCCTTGAAGAAGCTTGGCTGAAAATGGAGGATGAGCAGAGACCAGATGCATGAGAAAGGGAGGCACTGATGTTCCAGCAAGAGGCCTCAGCATGTGCAAAGGCCCTGGGGTGGAATGGGGCAGAAGAGGAGAGCCTGGGGCTTTGAGGTGAGGACAAATGAGTGAATAGGGAAGAAGGGCTGGGTTGATTCCCAGGGAGGGTAACTGATCTGGTCTTCATGCTGAGGGGTAAGTTGGGGGATGTCGTGGTGGAGGCTGAGCACCTCAAGGTGTCTGCCTTCCTGGCCCGTATATAACAATTGTCACCTTGGTTTTTTGGGTGCTGGCTATGTTTCACACCCTCACTCAGCCTCCTTCATGAATTATCTCACTAAGCCTCTGCTGCAGACCAACCCCTGAAGGTGCCAGGGTCGAGCCTACGTGCGAGAGGAGAAAACTGAGTCTCTGAGATCTTCCCATGGTCCCCCTCTCACTGGGAGAAAAGAGGAAGGGGAGCTGATGGCCCCTGGTCAGCTCGGAAGTCGGGCTGGGCATGGGGAGGGTGGAGTCCTGGGTCCGCACCCAGGATGGGCTTCCGTTTAACCACAGCCCTGTGACATGCCCCAAAGGGGAAGCAGAGGCTGCCTGTCCTCATCCCCCGTACCCAGGGAGAGGGCTGGGGATGCCCGGACCGGGAGGGGAGGGCGAGCGCAGGGGAGGCCGCAGCCGGGCCCCAGGCTGTGAGGCCGGGTCCCTGGAGGACTTTGGGGCCAGCTGAGCCCAGCTGGTAACTTCCACCAAGCCACACCAGGACTCCGACTTCCTCATTTCAAAGCAGAAGACCAGAGCCTCTCCCAGACGGTTTGTGGGGCTAGCACGTAGTAGGTCCCCCCGGAAGGGCTAGCGCGCTGCCTGGGTGGTTAAAAAGTTAAGCTAAAGATGCTTTTCTTCCGAAAGGAGTAGACGATTTGAACTCACACGTGGACATTTAACGAGTTATTAAGCACCCGCGATGTTCCTGGGGGCTGCAGAGGCTGCACTGGAGGAGCTGCCCTGCCGCTGTGCCTGGGCCGGGGCAGACATCACCAATCGATCACCTTTCCACTGAAATCAGGGTCCTCCCCAGGGCCGGGCGCTGGTGCGGGTGGGCGTGTGAAAAAGAACCTGTGTTCCACGGGAGGGGCAGCGAATGGAAACACGAAGGTCCCAGGCAGAGCTTTCTAGTGACTCAAGCTGCCTCCTCTCAGTTTCTCTCACCAAATTCCTAGCGAACACCTACTGTGCGCCAGGCGCGGGGACACAGCCGTGACCAGGGCAGAGCTGGCGTCGCGCTGAGGCTGACGGACAAACAAGTAAACATCATGGCTGGGCTCCCGCGCCTTCAAGGGCCCTAAACGATCAGCATCTGCACAGCGTGGTCTGGTGCGCGGAGAGGGTGACAAACCCGCCGAGGTTCGCCCTCGCGGATCCAGGCTCTCAGGAGGGCGACCCGGCTCTGCCCAGGTTCCGTGCGGGGCGCAGGCTCCGCGTTCACTTTCGCTTTTCCTCTCACCGCAGCCTTCGGGGGCTCTGGGCCGCCGGACTCTCCCCGGTGCTACCCGGCCCGCCTCGCCTCCCTGGTCGGCTGCCCGTCTGGAGCCGCCCTCCTGCGCCGGGTCGGCCCACAGGCGAACGTTGGAAGGGGGCCCTGATCGTCGACTGGGACCCAGCGAGCCTGCCAGGGGCTCGCTGCTGTCCTGGGCAGTCCTCTGACCTAGGCTGTCGCTGGATGGACTTGGCAGGTGCCCCTTCTTCCCTGACCGAGGCCCCTGGCACCAGGCTGCATCTGGGCTCTTGTGAAGGGGCACGTGCATCGATTGGTAATGCCTGCTCGGGCCGGAGGGAGGGCAGGGGGCAGGGTTCCCTCTGTGTCTCCGGCACCCAGGAGGTCGGACCCTGTCCCTTCCCGGAGTGCCCGTCCTCAGGCATAGTGGGTGCAGTCTGAGGACACCCCTCGCCTCGGCTTCCCTATCTGCGAAATGAAGATGATGACAATGTCCTCAAAGGCAAGGAGCTTAGGGGGGCTTTCCTGCTCCCCAGCACCCGCAGGGCACAGAGGCCCGAGCTGCGCTGTCCGACATCACGCAGCTGGTGGATGGCAGGCTGGCTTGAACCGGGCGCCTGAGCCAGGCCGGGGTGCAGTGAGCTGGGCGGGGAGGTGCTTGCCGGATGTCCCTGTGACCTCGGACCCCACTTCTCCTTTTGCCCAGCACACAGGAAGCCTGGCTGGGCCTCCCTTGCCTGTGTTGTCTGCAGCCGGGTGGACATGGGGTCCAGGCCACCCCCTTCCCATGTTGCGCAAGACGAGGCGTCCCCGTGTGGAATGGGCAGGCGGAAGAGTGGACGGCTCACTGCCTGCAGTTACCACTCACAGGCCTGCCTGGCCCCTGCCCCTTCCTCCTCTGTGTCCCCAAAGTACAGGAGGCCTTGAGCAAGACGCTGAGGACATCAGAGAGGCTCTCTAGCCACTATCTTGTCCCAACAGAACAGGCATGGGAGCAGGTGGTCCTAGAGACGACAGCAATAATAATAATGGCTACTGTTTATTGGTGTGGTTGCCTCTCTCACGTAACTGCAGTGCTCACTAAGTTGCCTACGTTGGCCTCCAACCTGAGACCATCCTGCCTCAGCTTCCTGAGTGTTAGGATCACAGGTGTGCACTACCATGCCCGGCTTCTCATGGGGAGCTGAAGCTCTGAGGGGTGGAGGGACCTGCCCACGGTCACGCGATTCAGCTACACCCCACTGAAGGTCACCGTTTGGCCTTCCGCAAGGGCTGCTCTGAGATCTGGAGGCCTGGGAGGGAGGCGCATCTAGCTGCCCTCTGCTGGGCAGTCAGTGCATGTGGTGCCCCAGGGCCTCAGTTTCCCCGTCGGTTCCAGCCCTGGCTTCCAGGCTGGGAAGGTCTGAGGAAGCACTCGGGCAGGCAGAAGGGTCCAGGGACGGCCAGGGACGGCCAGGGACGGTGGGTGCCCACGGGTGTCACCTGGGGCCTTGCTCCTCTAAGTGGTGACAGAGCCCTGGCTGCCCTCCTGGGGCAACCTGCTCACCCCTTGCCCGGCTCCGTGCCTCTGCCCTGCTGGTGTTTTGGGGCCCTTCCCAGGCACTCTGGCCTCGGTCCAGGTTCTGGGGCTTCGGTGCCATGGAGCTGGCGTCTTCCGCTGCCCCGACCTTGGGTGTGACCTGGGACCTGCCTGTGCCTTGGAACCTGGGTGGGTTCCTGGACCTATAGAAAGGGGGTTTACAACAGGGGGCCCCTGAGCAGAGGGCCGGGAAGCGGGAGGCATCAGCGGGGCCCCAGGGACGAGGGAGGTGGGTGCCTCTGTGGAAGGCTTTGGGGTGGCAGGGAGCCCTGGGAGGGGGTGAACAGGGCGGGGGCGAAGGGCGCAGCAGGGACAGAGGCCAAGAGGAACTGGCTGGGAGGGGTGGGAAGGCCGGGCCGGGTCCCCAGCCCCACCCAGGTTCCTGCTGAACCCGAGGCGGCGGGGTGTGGGGCCCTGGTGTCAGGGCAGAGGGCAGATGCCCTGGCTCCAGGGAGCCCTGCACTGGCTCTGGGCTCGAGACCCGACCTGGCACCCCTCTTTCCCCTTGTGTGGGGCCCCACAGCCAGCCCAGGGTCTCCACAGGTCTTCCCTCTGATCCCACAGCCCAGGCTACCGGGGAGCTCCTGCAGCATCCTGGGGGCCACTGCATCACCCACTCCAGCTGGAATGTTCTCAGTCTTCCTCACAGATCCTCTTGCCTCTGTCCTTCCAAGTCAGAGGGATCCTGTCCCTCCTTTGGTCTAAGCCCTCCATGACTCCCACCTCTTTCAGAGCAAAGTTTTCACAGTGGGCTCTCAAGCTCCCAGGATCTGCACCCTGGCCCCAGGTTGCCCGTATCTCTGGCTGTACCATTCATCTGCAGCCACAGTGACCTCACCCCTGTGCCACAATGCACCAACTGGGCCTGGGCCCCAGGGCCTTTGCACATGCCATTCCCCAGCTCTCTTTGTGGTGCTCCTTGTTTGTTGCCGAGCTGTCCCCTAGTGATGCCTTCCCCTGGCCAGCCCCTCACTCCTCTTACCTCATGCTTTCTTCCTAGGACTCATCACTCACACTAGAAATCACCCTGCTTGTTTATCCTATTTTTTGCCTGCCTCCTTCCCCTGGAATGTCACCATAGCCAGGTGGAGGTTTTGTCAGCTTTGTTCACTGCTGCACACCCAGCCCCCAGCACAGGTCCTGCATGGAGCAGGTGCCCAGGAAACTCGAATGGGGAAGAAATGAATGGGGGAACGAACATTTTTCTGCAGATGAGAGGACTCAGGGCCCTGGACTCCCATTCCAGTGCTCTTGCTGCAGACTCTGGAGCAGTGGCTGCCTGTGCACGGTCTGTGCCCTCGCGGGGCTGGAGGTGAGTCAGGAATAGTGGCCGCTGCAGATGGGAGATCAGGTGGACCAGGCCGCGTGTGGCCGCGGGAGGGGCTTGCACACAGCCCGTGGGCAGGCAGGGGTCCTGCCTCCGGCCCGGGGCTGTAACGGCCCCTTACCCTGCTCAGTGGGCCGTGGAGAGTCTGCGTGTGGGCAGGGCAGGGCTGGGCGTGGTGCCGTGTGGCGGGGCTGGAGGCTGACATTCCGGGTGCCGGACCCACATGGGGCCTGACAGACAGGTCGGCTTCCAGGCCGGGCTCCTTGGGAGTGAGGTTAGAGGGCGCCTCTGTCCGTGCTGCATGGCCGCGCCTCCTGCCTCTGCCTCTGTGGGTCCCGGCAGTGAGCCCTGTGTCAGACCCTGGCTCCCAGCCTTCCTTGGGCCCTGCTGCCACACCGCTTATCCTGTGGTGCCAAAGCTCCCACCTGCTACAAAATTCCCCTGCCCACACACAGCCAAAGGGACTCCTTAAAACTGCAGGTCTGCCCACTTCGTTCCCCTGCAGAGTCCTTCCCAGAGGTCCCATTGTGCTGAGAAAAAGCAGTCAGGTTCCCCCCGCTGGCTCCCCAATGCTCCCCTCTGACTCCATCTGTGTGCTCCCCACACCTTCTTATGTACCCTTCCAGCCACTCTGGCCTTGTTCCTGAAATAGCTCACACTTGTGCTGCCCTAGGGCCTTTGCACTGGCTGTTCCCAATGCCTGGAACAGTCTTACTCCAGGTGCTCTCTCCCTGCTGATCCCCCCGCCACTTGAAGTTATTACTTCTACCCCATCTCCAGCCAGGTGCACAGTGTCCTCTTTCCAGCTTGATTTTCCCCTGGGTGCTCAATACCAGATGTGCTATGGTTTTTTTCTGTTCTCTGATTCATCCTCAGGGGTTTTGTCTGTGGTTCTCTGATGTGTCCCCAGAGCCTGGCACAGAGTAAGTACCCAAAAAATTTTGTCGAATGACTGAATGAGTAACTGTGAGTTGATGGCAGATAAGGATGCTTATGTGACCGGCCACACGTCCAGTCTGAGATGAGACTGGATGAGAAGTCGCGCTGGACAGATGCTGGAGCTGCCGTCTTGGAAATCGCAATCTGAGATGGTGGCTGTGATAAGTGGACCTGGGGATCTGTCCCTCGCCAGGCCGGGGCCCGGCCCTGCTGGAGGCTGATGCCTCCTCAGCATGCTGGGCTCCGACCCAGGTTCCGAGATTGCTGTTTTGAGCCTCCTGGCCCCGAGGACTGTGTGTTCCCAGCAGGCAGAGTGGGCCAGCCTGAGCCTGGGTGTGGCTGTCACCCTATCGGGAGCCCGGGGACCCGAACCTGCTCCCCACCTGCTGTCCCCACCCAGAGCCCTGCCAGGGTCTCCCAGGCTTGTGCCCTCCGGTGTCCAGCCTCGGCCCCTTCCGCTGTGTGACCTTGGGCAGGTCCCTCACCTCTCTGGTCTCGGTTATCCATCCCCATTCTGCCCGTTTATTCCCCGTGGGTCTGTCCACCTGTCCTCTTCCCCAAGAACCCAGTGCCCCCCAGGACAGGGTCTTTTGTCTTCCCTGCCCGCGGCTGTACCCATGGCATGTGCCTGGCATATAGTAGGTGCTCAGTAAGGGTCCCTTAAAAGAATGGATAGGGAACAGCGACTCCATGGGGAGACCAAGGCCTGGAGAGTGAGCGGCCCCTGCAGTCACACAGTGTCAGCTCCCGAGCCAACCCGGAGGAGCGATGGGGTCGGGGTGAGGGGTCCGGGGCCCAGTCTGTCCCGTCTCTGCCCCTCTACCGCTTCCCCCTGGCGGCCTTGGGCTCCAGTTCGCTCCCACTCCGGCTGCTTTCCCAGCGGCTCCGCATCCCAGGGAGGCTACGCCTGGCCTGGAGGG